TTCCCTACCTCTACCTTCTGTGACTTTTTGACTGATTTTTTTTTTTCTTCCCATGGAAACCAAACTGTGTATCAGTGTTGAGTTCAACAATAAAATAGGCGGTAGGAAGGCAGTGACGTGTTGGGGTATGTTCGGGCCAGCAGTTCCATGTGAAGTTCAGGAAGAAAAGAGGGCGCGAGCTACATTCATCCCTGTGAAAGCAGCTGCAGTTCTGATGACTTAATTGCACCTGTTTCCCTGGGACTGGATGCGACTGTCAGAAGGCCTGAACGTGTGTTAAAAGACCCTTACTCGTAGGGGTAGGATGAGATGCTGTCCTGCGTCTGTCTTGCCAAAGTCCCATACACGTGCATAGCGACACACTGGCACGGTCTCGTGTTCACCGCTCTAACCTGACACTTGTAGTTTTGACATTGCAATCATTCAAAGGTAGCAATGATGTCTTTCAAACAAAGGGTGTGCAAGCTAGGAAGAACAGGGGCGTATTCCTTGGCGAGGAGACGTGGTCCTTCCTCAGCACTAGCATTTGGAGGGGAACGAGGACGGTGGCTTGTATGTGTGCACGTGTGCACATGTACATCTCAAGACCATGTTATTTCCCCATGTTTGACGCGGGTGCTTCGCTGGGAAACCATGTGAAAGAAGGATGAATTGAGCCCTCAGTAATGACCAAGCTTTCCAAAACGAGGAGAGCTGCTGTGTCGGTAACGACATGGAAAAGCAGTGGCGTTCTCGGCCTCAAACGGGCCCGTTCCTCTTGACGGTTAGCAATGCTAGGACGGTAGCTCTGCAAAAGTCCGTGGGACTGCTCCTGTGTGCAACGTTAAGCGCATTTAGTTGTTTCCGGAGCCAAGGTCAGAATAACTTTGGTTTGAACGCAGCGTTTGTCCTTTTAGCATTTCAGATGAGAAAAGAGCTAAACTGTGTTAATTTGTGTTTGATTCTGGTACTTCATTCCTCTTCGGTGGGTCCGTTCTAGTTGATTATTTACTGGATCCACCAGGCTTTGATTATTTTCCAAATTTCTGACTGCTTGAATCAGTTGATCCCGGAGTGATGTATTGGAGCACTAGAAGACTTAACCTTCTTTCTAGTGACACAGCACAACTGCCTTGTTATTAATCTTTGGGGTTTTGTTTTGTTTTTAATGGCTGCATTTTGGTTAAAAATTTAAAATATAGATATCAATTTTACCAAAGATACATATTACTAATTCTCAGCAAAAAACAAACAAACAAACAAACAACAATCTTAATTTCAAGAAAAATAATAATAATTCAAGTTGTCTTAATGATTTAGCAGTCACGTTCTCAAATGCATTCTCTTCTGCCATGTAATCCTGTGTTCTGAAGTTTTTGTTCAAATGGTGCCAGTGAATTTTTATATGAAGGAAAAATGCCTAATTGCTAATCCACTGCATTGCTCTTCCTTTTCTTTCTTTCTTTCTTTTTTTTCCTTTTAAACAAAGATGTACTTCAACTCTGCTTGTGACCCCTTTGCACTTTCTCTCTTTGTTGCCATTCTAACGGTGTAGATGACATTGGTGTTGCTTACCTGCGGAGAAGGTATGCAAAAATGGAGAGAGAAAGAGATGGAACTGTAATGAAGAGATTTGGCCTCTACTTTGTCTTAGCTGTTAAACTGTTTTTAGTATTTTTGTTAACTACTTGCAAAGGGAAGCATTTTCTACAGAGGATAATTAATTTCAAGAAAAATGTCTTGAGTTTTAAGAATAAACGTGTCTCCAAAAGAGGAGATAGTCAATTTTATAAAACGTCACAACTCTCCAACATTTGGGGTAGTGACTTTTTTGTTTTGTTAGAACATTTGAAACTAGCAAGCAGCCATTGTTTCTAAAGAACTAAGCATCCACGTCTACTCCGATTTCCTTTTCCTTCATTTTTAAATAGCAGAAATCATTCAAACTGTAAATATTTTGTTGCTTGGATAAGCATCTTCTGGGAACTTTGTATCTATGGTATATAATCATAGAATTTTATATTTTCATATAAAGCTAATTTTTTTCTAGTTTCAACTCCTTCATAGTTGGTTTTTTTTCGTTTTTTTTTTTCCTTTTTTTTGTGGTGGATATGTGAATACATACTTTCTGTGTATTGAAGTAGTGAAACACCATCATCACATGCCAAAAAAAAAACAACACACATGTTATTTCTTTGGGGCAGTGATTGTGAAAGTTGGATTTTCTTTTGATTCCATTGTCAGTGTGTGCAATAGGAATTAGACTTAGCCAGTCACTGGATAAGTTTGTCTCATTGATCCATTTGGAAAAAAAAATGTGGTGTTTGGTTTTGGGGAGATATTTTGGGGTGGGGGAGGGGTTGTTTGTTTCCGTTTCGTTTTTTGTTCGGGGTTTTTTTGTAACTTGAAGACTCTCCTTTTTGTTATGTTTAAAACTATATCAAATCATTCTATTATAGTGTTATTTAATATGTAAATTGTATTGCTATACATAAAATAAAGTATGGTTTTTGATGTATTCACAGGCTTCCTTCTTATTTCTGCCAAACTTGCACCTGTTAGGGAAGTTCGAGTCTATCTCGTTGTCCTGGACATGCGGGAAGAGAAACAAGGATGTGGTCTAATTAGGCTGCACCTGTATTTGTGTAATTCATCTGGGAGCTCTTCCCCTGGTAACGTGCTCATCATTCTCTCCTTAATCAGCTCTACATTCTGGAGGCCTTCACAGCTGGTCCTCCAGCCCTCCAGAAAGGGGTTGTCTCTGCCGTGCCAGATACCAGGAGCCTTGACTCTTCCTAAGCTCCTTCAAAGGGCATGTTCCCGGAAGTCCACTTCACGTTCGGTACCTACATTGCTCTTTGAACGTACCCTCCAAGGCCAACCCAACCTCCGTTTGCAGCGGCTGTGAGGAAGGCAAAGGCCCCTGCCTACCGCAGCCAGTCCGACAGAGAGAGAAAACCTTCATCTCCATCCCAAAAACACTGAGCATGATGCCTTCAGCAGACCAGAAGCCCTGGTCCCATTGTAGTTGGTGGGACTTCACATGTGACTGAAATGACACGTGTGTGTATTGGCTGGATCAGGGCGCAGGCAAAGTCTCTAGCTGAGCTGAGCTGTCTCTCCTTGGCCAAGTGTTGGCTTTTCCCACTTGCAGATTTTAAAAGGAGCCGGGGACACGTTTTGAAGGGCGTGTGGACTTGGAGTTTCCTCAAATGACGCTCGCTCGTCTTGAGACGTGTTGTCCAGCTAAAGCGCTGCTTGCTTTGAAAACCTGGCCCTGCATTCACGACGCAGGCAACTGTGTCAACTCTAGCCCCCAGTCGCTTCTCGGCCTCTTGTGGGCTAAGATCAAGTGGGGGCATCTGAACCCCAAGATCTCCAGGCTTGGACCTGCATGTACGATGCCTGCCAGTGGATTTGGGGGTATCTGAAGTCCGAAGGTGAGAGCCTGGGACAGAGGATGCTCGCTGCTTGTACATGGTATTTAGAGCAGTTGAGTTCTGCCTGCTCAATTGGTATATTTTTTGGAACAATTGAGTTCTGCTCAATCGATATGATTTGGAACTGATTTGGCTGATTTGACCTGGAATGTGAAATATATTAATAATAATAATAATCCACCGACTGCACATGCCACCTTTTTTAATTATCTTAGAGCGACCTCCCAGGCTTGTGGGGTACAATCACGCGTTGACTTGCTGCATGCAGTACCGTACAGCACCCTCATCCCTATGCTATGGATATTGCAGCCGTCCTAGACGACATAAGGGATTAACATTGTCACAGGTGGCTTCCGATGCAAGTGTCCCAGTGATTCATAGGCAAACATCTCACACCGGGAGAAATCACAGTCACGAACTAGAGTCACTTGTTGACATTTCCAAAGGCCAGTATTTAGGCCTCCCAGGTTTTAAGGAACGGGTGCTGCCTTGTTCCCTGCAGATGTGCACGTTCAGGGGGCCGTGAGGCCTGCAGAGTATGTGGCTCACCCCAGATTGCATTGGGAAGTACTGGCACAATTGGAAATAGGATCCAGGGTTTCTGATTCCCATTTACACTCCTCTACCTCTAGGGCTGTTTTCCACTGCCCCGTCCTCATGTGCTGCAGGATGCTGCGCTGTGCGTTAGCCAAACAGCTGTGTACGCTGTGCTACTGCAAGTCGCGGGTGAGAAGAGAGAGGACGGTCCATACAAAGCCCCCTCCTGCCACTGCCAGGACTGTGTGGAGCCTGGTGGAGGCTTTTGCTCCATAATGCTCATCTTGCGCTGCAGACTCTGGTAAATCAACAGCCAGAGAGCCTGGCCTGCATGGGGCCAGTGAAATAAGGCATGTGATGGGATGAATGCTAAACAGACCCACCATAGCAGGGATACATAGCAGCAGCATCGGCAGGAAACCTGCTTCCAGCCAGCTGTGTGCAGACACAACTCAAATGGAGGGATAGTGGTGCAGAAGTACGAGACTGCCCCTTTTTTCCTGGCTCCTCCTTGCTTTCCCCTAACAAGCTGAACTAAGACCCCAGCCTGAAGAGCACTTCTTGTTGTGGACCCCACTGCACCAGTTCTGGCTCAGATCATCTTGTGCTACCAAAAAAATTGGGGGAAATGGTGGGGAGGGAGCATTAGAGAGGAAAATGATGCGGGGAGATTGCACTTGGACTTTGCTGTCATTCGTGGCATGAAAAATATCTCCAGAAACCTATGCAGTAAGTAATTCAGTAATGCTTGGCACCACAGCTGTGATTTACCAACACTTCCCACTACTACTATTAAGCCTGAATTAATTGTCAGTATGAGGAGATCCCAACTTCTCATATAATAATAGCTAATGACTTTAGCCTTTAAAGCTTCCAGAGTCTGCTAACAGTCGTATTTAGCAGGCAACAAATAACAGTGGCATTTTTATGAAATGGATTTAAATGTCATCATGTATGGGTTCTCCCCCCCCCACCCCCCCAGACCTTTTGCAATATAAAAATAATTT